AGAGGACAAGGGCAGGGTTGGCTGAAAAGGGGGTAGGGGGGGGGGGGGTACGCCATAATGGCCAAGCCAGGTGCACGCTCGCACGCATCGCAACAGGAGCGAATGTTCCTACACAGACCTAGCCGGCGGGATGACGTGCTCCTACTGCGGGCATCACGCCCACACCACCCTCGTAAGCGAAGAACAAACGGTATACAGCAGCAACCCCCCGCTTGGACGGATTGTCGAGGGTCTACAGAAGGGCTGAAGAGTGCTCGATTTCCCGCTTACCCGCGGCCGGGACTAACTGCCCGCGACGACCCTGCCACCCTACGCCCTGCCCTCTTCCGAGCCGTTCCCTCGCTCGCCGTCTTCGCCGTCACGTCCTCGGTTACTGTCCAAGTACCCCTTGTTCGGACGAGAACAGACACGGGGCGGCAGGCGCAGACAAGAAAGGGGGCGGGCGCCGTCCCCGCGGCCGCGGCGGAGATAGCCGTGTCGTGTCATGTTCGCGCGGTACGGGCGCTTCGTGGATGGGAGCAAACGCCCTTGTGTCGGAAAGAACACAAGTAGCGGTGAGTATCGCGCCGGATCTTGGCGATGCAACGACAGACAGCGGGTGGTTTCCGAATGCCCTAGCCAGCGTGCACTTGGTTGCGCACTGCCGTCCTGTACACGTGCTGGCGTTGCGAAGTTTCGAGGTTACCCTGCATGCGCGTCCATCCTCGATCAAGGGTGGCTACCTACAGCATCTGCGTCGTTTGTCCAGAAGAACGGGGCGTCAGAGAACTGCTTTGATTGCGTCCTCGTTTATCGACAAACGTACCGTCGTTGCCTGACTTTCAATCATGTATTCGTGACGCTTCCAACACGATGGAGCTTCGATAATGCATGCCTACCTACCTGGCCTTGGCAGAAGGGGCACACTCGGACCCCTAGCAGGAGATTGAGCATTCCCTTGTTGACTTCTCCCGTACCGTTGCACTCGGCGCAAGCAGTCACCTACCAATACCGCGTCAAGATAGCACCATTCGAACAAGAAGAGGGCAAGGAGACCGCGTGCCGGAAAAGAGCAATCGTACGAGTGGACGAGGTTGGGCGGGCACGTGTCCACGAGGATGAGAGTAAACTCGTACTTAATGCGAACAAAGGACGTTTGGATCTAGCCTGTTCGTTCTGGATCTACCCCACATCTTTTGCCACTGTAAGAACAGAACGGAGGGTAATGGCACATTCTCGAACAGAAATGTTCGAACTACCCGAAGAGTGCTTGCATTCAATTCAGGACACGTGGGTACACCCACAACGTCGAACGCGAGAAATGCAAAAAGGAATTGAAACACCTATGCCTAGCCGGACTACTGTAGCTCGAACGCTTTAGCGACCATTAGTCATTCGGCCGGGAGGATCACGGCCAGTTCGCACCCCTCATTTGGCTAGCTTCTGGTTGGGGGGACGGTTGCGTTTGTCTGGCCCAAACCGCGCCGCTAGCGTAAATCGACAATTAATTGCCGGTACAGAACGCGCCCTTTGATGAGAACTTGAGGACTGGAAAAAGAAATAAAATGTTGACGACAGCAGCTTTGAAAACAACGCAGAGCACCAGAAAATGGACAACAAGTAACTCAAGACCAGTCGGAAGACATCACGAAAAGCAGACTCGTTGATTGTGGCACAGGGCGGCAGTAGAGGCTGCTCAAGACTTATATTTCACGCGTGCGTCTACCTCCACACGCCCCTTTGAAATCAAGAAAATAATTAACACCGTAGACTAAAGAATGTCAAAATTCAAGTCAAAGGACTCAACGCGGCAGGCGCTCAAATACGGTCGATGTTGCGACGTATCTGATGCATTGTACAAATGTACTAGAGAACACCCGAAAGCAGCGGGGGGGAGATGCTGGCGCGCTCAAATCTTCTTCTTCTGTGGTGGTGGTGACATCGAGGGTACAGCAGTGACCCACAATCTCCGCAAATCTCCGCAAATTAGACCCGTCACCCAGTGTCTTGTACTGGCTGTGCTCGCCGCCACTTACCCCAATCTCCTGAAGTGCAGGTTTACAACCTCTGTTCAGGGGTTTAAGGTGGCGGTGAGCACGGCTGTGATAAATGTTGGATTCCGTTTGGTTCCGATGCAGATTTCCGGCTTTTTTCACGGACTGCTGCGACCTTCGTTATTTTAGCTCCAGTAGGCAACCTGAACGTGCCAGCACGCACTCCTCTTCATGGGGCCCTCTACTGATGACAGAAGAATACAGCAGGTACTTTCCGGCGGAAGGTTGTTTTTTCGAATGAAAATAGAGCCAGCGTCATAATCACTTGTTCTTCACCCCCTTAAGAATATCTTACTGTTGCCCGAGGCTGGCTTCTTATTGGGGTAACCCAATATCGACCAAATAGTAAGGTTGGTGTACCTGTTGTTATGGTCACACTCTCACATTTATTTGTCCTTGTTTCCTTGTTTCGAGCCTGAATGTCCTTTCTCCTAGGTTATATGACACCTAGACTATGTATTATTATTGACACAACGCGGTACCGACGTCGTACATGATGGTGAATGATCCCGTGCCCACAGCACAGCGTGCAGCCGTCGCCGCATACGTGTCCGGAGCTGTCGCAGCGTGGGCACAGGTACTGGGGGTTGAGGGAATACCTGTAAAGCAGTTTCGGTCACAGCACCATCTCGTGGGGGGGGAAAGATAACGGAGGATAAATTGTGCCAAAGAAGGTCTATACCCAGCGGAAACAGGACTGGGCTGGGTCGAAGAATAAGACGACACGATACGGATGCACATGAATTACTTGCAACTGACGGTTGCAACAAGAAAAATTCTCAATCTGTTTTGCGTACCATTTGCATGGTACAGCAGTCAGCAAATTCCCGCACAAAAAGGAGGAGCGGAGAGCTACGCCACTCTTTTCAAGCACTCTCTGCTCGATAGAACGGTTCCAACAAAATCCACACGCCCCCCCACACGTACGTTTGTTTGTTACACATACTACGCTGGGACGCAGACAATGAAAGCAAGTGTGTGTTCGCTGGCGTTCTTGAAAGTTTCCCCTTGATCGGTTCCAGCTGGCACTCTCCGCAAACGGCGAAGGTGATGGGGCGGCGAGAGGAGGGTCGTGTGTGTCGTTTTTATTAGCATCGACCGCGCAATAACCAATGAAAAGAGGTCAGTCGGTGCGGTTGAAACACAAAACACTTCTAGCTGCCATAAACTGGGACGGCCCGACCCCGTGAGGGGGGGGCATGGAGGAGGCTAAGCCATTCTCCGGATCAAAGACAGAAACGGTAGCAACAGAAGAAAACTGCACGTGTCTATGTGCCAGGGCTGCTATTTTGCACTCGAGTTCGTTTTGGAGTGCTTTCACCATCATCCTCCTTGCTTTGACTGCCATCATTCCCATCGTCATTTTTACAGCGATTTTTCGGCAGTTTTTCTCCATAGCCCTGCGTCGTTTGTGGTGGGGGGTGCATCTGGCTCGAAGCTCTTGCCCTCTTCCACGCCATGATTTCCTCCTCTATTCTATTGCTGTCTTAGTCTTTCTCTTGTCCTCCCGTTCCCTCTCCTCCTTCATCGCTACTAAATGAACTCCCCTCACTTCCATCATCATCGTCTGTTTCGGTACTTATTGTACTGTACTACGTGCTGAGATCCCAATCTAGAAGCCGTGGGTGGAATGGGTCGATCAGTAGTCCATGACGTTTGAAAACATCACTTTAGAGTTCTTACTGATACAAAACGAGCCAGCTCGAAGGTAGACCGTCTCCGAATGTTGTTGGTATGATAAAGCCTTCAGGCGAAGCAAGACTGTTTCGTCGTCGAACATCAATCCCCCCCTCCAAAAGGCGTCGCATGCCAAGTGGTTGGGGATAGCTACAATTAGTCGATTGGTGCCTTTGCCAAGACCACCATACGTTGAAAAAGCAGCAGTAAGGAGGGCAGATCTCGACGGATTGGTCCTACTTACAAGTCTACATTGTTAGCATCGACCGCGCCAACCGGCTTACCAACGAAAAGAGGTTACTGTGCAGTCCCAGTGCGGTTGAAAACACAAAATAATTCTTTCTAAATGCCTTTAACCGGGACCCGGTGAGGGGGGGGCATGGGGGAGGCTAAGCGATTCTCCGGATGGATCAAAGACAGAAGCAGCGGTAACAACAGAAGAACTGCTTGTTACCTTGCACTCGCTTTCGTTTTGGAGCGCTTCACCATCCTCCTCCTTGCTTTAACCACCATCACTCGCATTGTCATTTTTACAGCTATTTTCGGCAGTTCTTCTCTTGCAAAGCGTCGTTTGTGGCGGGGAAGACAATCTTACTCGAAGATCCTGTTCTCTTCCACTACATGCTTCCCTCTATGCCGTACTCGTTAGACCATTGACCTCACATCCCTACGACGTGGGACGGAGCACGCCTGGGTCTCACCGAACCAGACTCACATCACCAAGCGCGAAGAGCGGTGAGGTATTGGCGAATTGCATTGAGGGTGCGCTGCATCCTGCCCGAGGGAGGGGGGGGTATACCCATGACTTCTCGCGTGGACATCGCACCGTTACAGCACTTGATCATACCCGGGGGGGCAAACAAAGACAAGCCTCTTCCTCACCTAATACCGTTGCAGTTGATGCAGTTGACGAAATAGTAGTTGAAAAACGAGGAGGAGTGGCACTTGATGCAGGGTGTGTGAGGCCTAAAGACGTAACGCTGCCCTTCGCACAGGTCGCACGTCGTCCAGAACACCCCTCCAAGACCGTCGATCTCCAGGAGAATGCAATAAAAAGGCGCAGGGGTTTGCGCCAAATAGAGGAACCGTGAACTTGTGCATAGCACAAGATTTGCTCCGGAGTTCCCAGCTGCACATAGTCTATGTCGGCAGGCGGTAATAAAGTACGTCATCCTCATGCGTGCCAAACAGTTTAATCTCTGGACGAAAATGAAGCCAGCCTCGTCGGCGATAATATGTTTCCCTGTATGCATAGACTATGTAGTCTACTGCGTTATCACAACCGTCCTGACAGCAATGCACCACGTGGGCCCCCTGATTTGAACACGACAAGGTGCTCGGATGTGGTGAATAGGGAACCGTGAATAGGGAACCCTCGCCGCTGCAATCACAAGCGCGTGGGAGACCGTCTGCGCCAAGACAACACGCACAAGATGCGGATGTGCGTGGACAAAGGGAACATTCAGAGGATGCGCAGACACGTGTATGGGGTCGTCTTACCACTCCAGTGGCGCGGCACTTGGGGCATGGCAGCGGCTTGTCCTTGAGATACTTCAACCCATGGCACAAGCGGCAAGGGGTCCACAGCCACAGCCCAAACAACGATAGGAATCCTCCCTTCGGAGTACCCGGAAACCGAAACAATCCAGACAGAACGGGTGTTACATGTAGTGTGTTATGGAGCCCACACGAAAGCACTTGTTGTGGTATCCGAGGGCAACACGGAAGGCGTCCAGGTCAGTTGGACCGGTGGATGTTGGAAGATACAGAGAACGGGCCGGGATGGTTTAATGTGAAGAAAACGCGACCAACAAACAACCACATCAACAACAACAACAACAACACCAGAGAGGGCAACTCAAGCGAAGCCTGAGAGACGGGTAGTACGGGGCACGCCGTAACGGTCCACAACAATCGATCGCCCTCTTGCAGGCAGCGAAGCGAGGCTGCAAGAGGGGAGAAAATGTTGATCTGGTGCGGAGCATCTGGAAATTTCTCCCTCAGCATGGGCGACAACCTCGCACGCGAAGCGTCGTGGCGACAAGACGTACGTGCGGGAATATCAAGACGTACTTGAGGGTATAGCTGACCGGCCACACCTCGCTACTCAACGATATTAACCCCCGCAAATCGGGAAGCATGCCTCGATATCACCTGGAAAGCGCGCACGCACGAAAGAAAGCACCGCAGCTCACGTTGGCGTTGCAAGACGGGCAGGGGTTC